ACGCACGTGCATTCAAGCAGTTCAAGTCCAAGGAAACTTCTGGGGCTTCAAACCCACCCCCCACGCTCTCATGCCAGGCACCAGGGCCATCTCCATCTCCCGGGCCCTTTCTGACGCACGTCTACCGACCGCTGGCCAGTCCTAATTAAACTTCAACCACTTTGTCATAAAACAACCCTTTCAAGCTCTAATGGAAACGGCGGCAGTGATAATGTTGCCTGGTTCACAGCAGCTGAACGGGCAGCCTTCGCTCCTCACGCTCCCTCGGAGGTGAACGCAGAAACGAGACTCCAGCCCCAGGACAAAAAAGAAGAAATCTACATAAAGGCTCCTTTGCCACCCAAGAAACTAACGCCATTTACCCAACAAGGGACTCCGTGGTGTGGCCGTTTGTCCTCAAAACCCAACTTTCAAAGCAAAGTGGGGCGGAGAAAGTGACTAATGACGGGGAAGCAAAGCTATGCAGCGAGGCTAAGACTTCAGGCTCTGAATGAGGACTTCAATCAAAAGGAAAATCATGACCTTCAGCTGAGAAGGACACGCCCGCCCTACCGGCTCTCCTTGTGCTCGACCTCTCGGAGGGGAAAGGAGAAAGGCCGGAATGCTGGTGAGACGCCCGCTCCGTGCGGGCCCTGGGCTGGATGCTGTGAGGACACCACCCCGTTGCTGACCAACTGCGGCCACATGACCATAAATGGGTGGCCCACGGAAAAGTCTGCAGGCTGCAGCCTCTGAACCCTAAGTCTCTGGCATCTGCAGGTTGGGAGAATGGTTCGTGAGAAACTGAAAAAAACGTTTTATTGAGAAAAGAATGGTGAGGGTGAAGGTGTCCGGGAGGGCTCATGGCCAGTTTAAGGGGTGGTCCCTCTGTGGCACTGGCTGATTGCTACCATGTGGGAAGGTCAACCTAAGTGTGGTTCAGAGCTTTCAAGCAAAGCTGAAAATTCAGCATCTTCTGGGAAAACCCATGGTTTTTAAATCTTGGCAACTAACTCAATGGCACATGGCTTCTGTACTAGGCAGTGGTCACCACATAAAGCGGCTCATGGGGCCTCGGTGCTCTGCTCTCCACCCTTCCCTCTGCCTCTCCCGAGGGCCTGAAATCCAGCCGGTTCCCAGTATGGCACTGCAGGGATTCAGAGCCTCACCAGGACAACAGCCCCAGGGGGCCCAGGGCCCATGAGAGTAGACAGGGTCCCCTCCTTCCTGCCTCCATGCCCCATGAGCGGGGGCTGGTCTGCTTCAAAGCACTTATTTCAAGGGTTGCAGGCACCTGCCCAGGGAGTGTGGCATTTGGGTTAATGACAGGGTTGAGCTGAGCCTGTGGACAGGGTTGGCACCCCAGGGACAGATGGGTCCTTCCCCGGGTGGCTGAGCTGCGGCCCCCAGCCCCGGCCCAGGAAGAAGGTGAGGGCCATGTGAGGACAATGGGACCTATCACCTGCCAGGCGTGCGGCTGGCCTGG